AAAGTGATGACATTTAACTAAATTAAATATAGAGGCCAAGAAAACTATTTAACATTTACTCAAGAGGGAGGAATTGAGACTGATTCATAGATTAGTTCCAACTACAAGTGCTACTTATGGTATTATAAAAGAAGAAACTTTTACTGTATTTGAAGAATTTGAAAGTATAGACGGACTTGAGGCTGTTCTTCTAGACAACAAAAGTACAAATATTGGATGTAACTGCTCTGGAGAATCCACACTGAAATTTACATACGACATGCATCAGAATGGGTTACTATTCAGAAGTGTTGTTGAATATGTTGATGAAACCAATAAGAATTCCAACTGATTTTACAGACCCACTAGATAAAATATGTGAATCATATCAGAATCTTCTATAATTAAACTTTATGGAAAATCAGTGGTTCCATTGAAAATTATGGTAAGAAATATTAAATCTATAAGAAAATAGAATTTGTCAAACAGCAACCACTGACAAATTGTGTGTGTGTGTAACGAATGCACGGCCGCAATTTTCGACGGATTAGCACCAAAATTTACATGCACATACTCCGAGTTAGCGGGAAGGCCAAGACCCACTTTGCATTTCCCAAATCCCATCGATAGTAGAAATAATCGATTTTTTCATGCTTCTACGGCAATGTTCATGTAGTTTGCGGCCATTTTGTACTGGACAGAGTGAGAGCCTATAGCTGGCTGCGACGAACAGACAGGAAGATTCTATTCGCAAGCGTGAGTGCCAGCAGATGACTGACACGAATGTTAACTATCATGCTAGCATGCAAAACAAATCGATAGCTGCATTCGTCACAAGTGGGAAAAATTTAAATCTGCATGGCACTTTACTCCAATTGGCTCATTCGCTTGCTTAAACTCAACATTGATTCTGATTCCGCAGAACTGGGTTGGGTGTGAAAAAGTATTTGTTGTTAACATTCTTTTTTCATTCGGTTTTTCCAGTTACGAATCCTTTTGTAAAGCTGATCGTTTTGTGTTCATTTTGTTTAGTTCTTTTTTCGTAACAGATTTAATGTTTAGTATAGATTTTAGAAAAAAATCGCAATGTGAGATAGGCAAGAAGTAACGCATGTAGCAACATCATCACGGCAAAGGGCACTCCTTTAAAGGCAAGGAAGGGCAAAAATATTTTAAGTCAAGTGATAGCGATTGCTGTATGAGTCGTACGATTTTTGAATCAAGCACGGGCAATGTTGCTAGTCTCTTATAAATAACACAAGATTAGAGTTGCCTGATTGACATCCTAAGATGTTTGAAAAACAGAGAAATTAACGTCTGAGTCTTCGCAGGAAGCAAAATAGATATATTCTTGCAAAAACCTCATGTTATCATTTAAGAGCTTCCTTATAAAGGCTCTTATTTGTGAAAACTTTGATACTATGAATATAGAAATATTTGGATTGAATTAGTTTTCATGTAATATGAAAGTTATTTATTCATTAAAATATAAAAAATGTTTACTTTTGACATATTAAAATTTTTCTATCAAATACTACCAAAATGAATGGTTTTTGGTGCATTTTCAATGCCAATGTTTGGTTGCGTTTCCTGAAAAGGGGTTTAAATCTAACAATATAAAATCTGCTGTGAGGTTTTATCTCACTAAGTCCCAACTATTTAGACTTGCTCAAAGTTGATTTAGCAATAAGTGTAAAATCGACCCTCATAATCAATATATTTCTTAATTCGCGTTTTATTTTATTTTGTTTATTTTGTGATCCAATTCTTTCTGTTTGTAAATTGTTTATTTAGCTTTCAATCTGCCCTGTGAGTGTTAACTACTTCACGTCTTTGCTCAGTATGCAAGCCAAATATTTGCTGTCAGTTTATTAACACTGTTTAGGTTTCAGCAACTAATATATTCCTGAATGATTCTTCATTCCAAACAACGCACAAAGTGTGAATACTCTTAAAGACTGTTCGCAATTATCTAATGGCGTATGCAGAACATCCTGATTTCTCAAAATATACATTAAACAAACTATTTGAAATTATTTAAATAAACTTTTTTTAAAATTTTTCTGGAAGACAACTAATGTAAATATTTTTAAAATAACCCGTTGAATATCTTCTATTTTGCATTCTTAAAAAAAAATTAAAACAAATCAGACTCATAGGCATGAAACTCTGTCTGTATATAGCGTTTTCTCAGACCGCAACAAATGGTTGGGTATAAATAATCTGAAGTTAATATAAATCCAGCAAAGAATTGGCAATTGCAACAATAGAAATTATCATCAAACCCGTTGGTTGTTTCAAGACAACGTGCTCGAAATGTAAAACAAATGGGCTGCTTAAAAAAAAATTAAACATACAGGTTAACGAAAAAAGCAATCAAATCATTAAAATAGAAAAATTGAAGCAACGTGGATTGAAAATATAAAATTTACAACAAAATATATGAAAAAGAAATGGGTTGCATCAGGAGGCAATAATTGTGAGAGAAATATAAGATATCTTCTCAAATTAAAATGAATTTACATACGAGAAAACCGGGAGAATCACTAGCAGACAGACAGAAGATTATGAAAAAAGTGGGGAAAGAGAAACAATTATAGCGTGTAGATCATTGGATGAATCCAATGATGAAGAATCAGCATTGGTTAAAGTGATGTTTCGGGAAGGTTTGTTTGGTAGCCGTTCAAATCAATCATGTAAGATATGAATGCCTGAAGGGAATAAATATGTTTCCGAAATCTTTCATAAAATGGGGTGGCAATACATTTTAAAGATTGAAGAATATGACTAAATGTATCTCCAAAATCAATGTAAATCTCATATCACTCGACACAAAATTGATATGCTAAAGATGCAAAAACTCTTTCAAGTTCTTAATGAATCACAGAACAAAAGTAATTACAGAATTTATTCAGGAAAGGCTAATAAAAATCACTGTTATTATCGGCGTACAGTAAATATCTAAATATCTAAATACAACTGAATTTTTACGGTATAAGTGTTCCATACACAATAGTGTTATATATACTCGACTCTCCCCGTCGAATTCGACGTATGAGGATCAAGCAGATCAGTCCTTAGTAAACCGAATGCGCGACAAGAGCACATGAGATTTGATTATAGTGGTGAAGGTTTCGTGCAGGACCATCTACACTTTTTGAAGGAACGAATACAGAGACCTGGTGCACTACGTGCCACAAGGTCCCCAAACGACCCTCCGCAGGTTTTGAATTCAGAGTTGTCCTTCTCCTAGACCAGTTGCCATCCAAGGCTATAGAACCCATTCTGTCCTGCTATTTACCCATAGCTGGAGGGAGAAGAAGAGGATTCACACCTTTCCCAAGGGTATTAGCACGTAAGTGAATGTAATAGATTCGACTGGAATTACGATATATATATATATATATATATATTTTGTAGCAGTAAATAAATTTAATCTTTTTGTTATGTACTATATATATATATATATATATATATATATATATATATATACAATAAATTCATATATTTTTCTCAATACAGAAGTCTTTCCTGAGATTATCCTCGACATATCATTTCAGTTCACCCCAACTAAGGTAATAATGTTACTAAGACGCTAGGTGTTACTGAGTATGAATAATTTGAAAAAAATGAAAAAAATATTTTTAAGGTGAGATAACAATGAAAGAAGATAAGGATTGATAGTGTAATTAATTTTTTTAAGATCAACGTTGATTGTAATGTAGAAAGCGATTTCCACACGTGAGAATTGGGAGAGTATAATATTACATTTTAAATTTAAGATATTCAACTGTACAAATCATGAGACCTAGTAGACAGTCTAATAATGATTTTAAATTTTTAAAGTGGAAGTAGCAAATAGGAAACCTCATAAAAACAATTACGAGAAAAATATTTATAGAAAAGTAAGAAAGATGCTAGAAAATGTTTTAGAAATTATAGCATTAATTTAAATAATTTACTCTAGTTTGCTGAAAATATTTTCTGAAGTCGGATGCTAATCTGCTAAATATTTCTTGCGCATTATTTGTGGTTATTTGTTGGTAAATAAAAATAAGTGCACATAATGTAAGTGAGCTAATACCAATATTTTTTTTGTCAGGTTTGTATACTCAGCCGATGACATAGTAAAATAAGTCAGTAGAGTGATATATTTCACTCCAATATTGTGCTTTTTTTTATCTGCGAGGAAATGATCCAACATTCACCACCTTATTGTAAATTAGTAATATTAGGTTGGTGCAAAAATAATGACGTAAGAATGTCGTTTTTTGACGTTAAAAATACGTCAAAAAATGACATTATTACGTCATTATTTTTGCACCAACCTAATATAAGGATTCCGAACACCTTTGTTTATCATAATAGTTTCTATTCATTAATTGCGTAGTTTGTGTACTACAATAAAATCTGCACACAGTGTCATATAAGAACCTCAATAGAATTATCAGCAGGATTAACATGAAGAAATTTAATAGCAGTAAAATAGGTGCAGGTGTGATGAAGAAATATATAAAACCCGGCTATATAAACATTCACCTTTGTCAGGAGATAGACAGTCACTCTCATAGTCATCGCAGATGAGTATTATAAAGCTAACGTTTACATCGTTACACTACTCATAACTGATTATAGACCCGAGTGAAATAAAATTGAATGCTCTCGTGTTTTTATATATCACGGCTTCATTCCAATATCACTTTCTGAAGTCATCTCCTTCTTTCCGCTTAAAACTAAATTCTCTCTCTCTCTCTCACTCCCTCTGTTGGTGGGGGCGCGTAAGGGATTTTGATTATTTCATTCATTAATTTCCTATAACTTAAACATTTACTCTTTATTTTGAGTGTAAAAATTATTGAGTTAATAGTGAAATATTCCATATCCGGAGTGGGGAGACGTGGATTCAAAACTTTCCCAAATGTTTTTGTTCGTAAATAAATAAACTCAACGGGACTGAATCTCGAGTATCATTTACATTTCCGAGCCATTATCCAATAAACAACCGGCATATATAAGCTCAAAGCACCTAGTTTTCCCGAATGGTCACCCATCCAAGAACTAGCCAGAATGAATGTTGCTTAACTTTGGAGATCGTGCGGAAACCGGTGATTTAATATGATGTGGTCGTAATCCAAAAAAAAAATAGAAATCTTTCTAAATGTCTGAGATGAGGTACTATGATTATTCGGACTGTTATACTTATCTTCACATTCATATTCACAAGACTTTGGTTACATCCAGTGACTACACGCTAATAGTTGTGAGTTCAATACCAGGCCACAGCAGGGGTGAACCGAAACATGGAGACTTAAGTTAACAGAGACATCCGAAAAAGGCATGGCACGTGAAACTAGAACAATCTATCTCATGGACGAAATAATAGGTTCGGTTTGAAATTCCAATCACCTGAAGAAGGCCGGAGTGTACAACTGTCGAAACGTTGTGAACATGGCAATGAAGATGAGGATAACAGTCCGAATAATATATATAATGTAAGTATAAATATAGATATAAAACAAATCTACAAATTACCTCTGCTGCCAATACTAATTTCAGAAGAGGAATCCCGAGCCATCTGTAAAGGAATCAACAACATGTCAAACGTTTTCAACATTTTTGCCCTTGTATTTTTCTTGAATATTTACTCTATTCATTTTTTGCAAAAACTGAAAACTCGGACATGGCTTAGACAAACACTGAATCACTGTTGCTGCACTGGTCATACAAGGTATTATCTTTGGAACATTATCATCTACTAGTTGGGCTTAAGGACACTTGACCGTAGCATCACACATTAGCACCGAAAAAGATGTAAGGATTCTGTGATTTGGGGTTCAAATTTCGCTAGTGAAAAACCAGATCGGCAGAATATGATACATAGACACTCTAAAAGCAAACAATATAAAATATAAAGCCGAAAATGAGGAATGATAACATATATTGCTCTCTGTGTTTGCGAAAATTTATAATTCATTAGATTAGTTTGATTTTTCCATCTTTAACATTATACTCAGTGCAAACACTGCAATTTGATACGGCATGTACTTACGCTTTTAACAATTTTGGAACATTTAGTTTTAAAGGTCGTCTAGAAAAAATGTACAGAGATACATGATTTCCGCAGGTTTTTGCTGTCAAACTGATTTCAAAATTTTACTATTTGAAGAATAAATAGAAATAATGTTGATATTTTTTTATTAAATACGTTGAATGGAAAATATATTCAAACGAGAATTCTAATTATGAATCATTACAAAGAAAATATATAATTTTTACTGTATTCGATCAGTGAAAACTGTAAAAATTACAAAATATTGCAAAACTTTGATCAATGAGTAAGATGTGACACCATTTGTTATGTTATAAATAATTAAAAAAATAAATAAAATTGTATATAACACAATAAATCTTCAGGTTGAAAAAGTATCAGAAAAAATGTTTAAAATTTGCATTTTTCATTGAAAATCGAATTAAAAATACTGCACTCTACTACATTGTAATATAGTTAAATTATTCAGTACAATTACCCCTTTAATTAAATAAAAGTCTTATTAGATAGCACAATAATTTAGTAATAATGTAATTATGACTTGCTATTTGTCCATATAAAATTCGTGAAGATTCAGTGGTTTAACTGTACCTTCTATAGCTTGAGAATTTGCATGTAAATTCAACTCCAACATTGTATCATTCATTAGAACCTCTTGAAGTGCATTATTTGAAAAACATTCTGCAAGCACAGGTTCATAAAATATTTTTTGTGAGAGTAATCAAATTTAAGTGTGTCGCTTCAGAATTGATGAATGCAATTTTGTATTCTTTTCTTTGATGTCTCACTACAAACTTGGCTATTTTTACCCATAATTGGTTCTTTATTTGTGATGTAATTTGAATGGAAATTTAAAATTAGTCTTGTTAACCGAAATAGCTAATTAAGTATGAATAAATATTTACTTATCTAATGGAAGATTTTAAACCCTCTTCGCTAACCTCCAATTCATCTGACTTCAACATTGAAACATAATGAAATCATTGTGCTGTAAATTTTGTTATGTAAGTTTCTGCATTTTGGTCGACCATTTTTTGTCTGGATAAGGTTGAGTATACACATGTTTGCATAAGGAAATTTATTAACCCTTTTAATTTTAATCCAACTGCATATATTTCAATTGTAATTTTTTAAGGCTGTGTTATAAGGATTTTACTGATGGCTGGAATGGAATTTCAACGCACCAATTTTGAACATTCATTTTCTAATCTCGTTTCCTCGAAAAACGGTTTCGATTTTTAAATACATATTCTGTGAATTTATTTATCATGTAAAGCCCCAAATCTAATAGTCTATGCAATGCCACTTTTCCAAAATCAAACTGCCCCAATAATTCATTTGCTATCAGAAAACGTGCCTTTCACTTTTCGGTTCATCAGAGTATCATTAGATATTCAAAAAATGGGGAATCCCCTTATTAACCATTGTTAGCGATTTCATGATGATGAGGCACACGCTGGTACTGAAAATGATGATTTTGCTAAAATAATTAAGAGCAAGCAACTTGGAATATGATCCTTTGCTGACCCATATACGTCTAACACTATTTTCCTGAATGTTATTTCCTCCTTTGCAACAATTAGGCATTTGAAGGCAATCAATAGAAACAATTCAATGACAAATATTACTCCATATAAATTAAATCGTAAACCCCGGTATCATCAAAAGCAAAAGAAGCATGTGAATCTATTCATGTATATAAAATAGTAAGTTTACTCTTCAAAAGTTTCTCTTCAAAAGTAAGAAAACTTTGTCCATTTTGTCTGAATGTTAGCAGGAGCCTTTTACGAATCGATAAGCAAAGAATTAATAAATCAATCAAGCATTAATAAATCACACAGTATTTTTTAATTGTTGACACCGATTAATAAAATTTATTCATAAATATCGCATCTAATTGTTGAGACGTTTATGGCTGAGGTTCACATTGAACGTCGAAAAGTAATCCTAAATGATTAAATTAAAGACAATGCAAATATACATACCATTTCGACATTCCATTAAACTCGACAATTAATTTAACAAATATTTTTAAAAAATACAATGATATTTTGTTTATTAGAATGTTTCATTGTTGATGCAGAAGTGTGGCGAAATAGAGGCTGAAATTATGATTGGGAAAAATAGAAATAGAAAAATACTGAGAAATACAGCATACGTAATGCCCTTTATAATTATCAATTCTTATTGAACAAAAGGAATTAAATTATTTTAAGAACATTTTTAAGTGTCACATCAAAACAACATGATCTGTTAGATTACCAAACATGTCCAATACAATGTTGAACCCTCAGCAACACTTCTGCCAACCACTTTATATATTTCTATATTGATTTTAGAAATTTACCAAAGACTGATTGTTTTAATTCAGAAATGGCATGAGATTTAAGCACGATCTTTCAGTACAGATCACAAGAAAAATGGCTATTATATTGCTCCAGGTGCTCCTCATCATTACAGATCGAAAATAGGGTGTAAATAGCTAATAAATATTGAAACCTATATAAAGACATCACAAAAAAAGAACAATTTTATTTAGTAAATGAATTTCAAGAAAAATTATCACGCAGTCAAATGTTAAACAAAATGTATACACCATATTAACAAATTGATATGCAAGGGTGATATGGTTATAAACACATTAAAAAATGTACGAAATACACGGAAATTATTTTAAACGTATAAACCATCCGCAGCCAGTGCACTTAATGCATTATTTTTAAAATAGAAAATATAATTACAAATTTTATATCTCTATCTATAAAAGCCATGATGTGTGTGTGTGTGTGTGCGTGTATGTGTGTGTGTGTGTGTAACGAATGCACGGCCGCATTTTTTGACGGTTTGCACCAAAATTTACATGCACATGCTCCAAGGTAGCGTGAAGGGCAAGACGCACTTTGCATTTCCCAACTCACATCGATAGTGGAAATAATCGATTGTTTCATGCTTCTACGGCAGTTTTCATGTAGTTTGCGTCCATTATGTACTGGCCAGAGTAAGAGCCAATAGCTGGCTGCCACGAATAGGCAGGAAGATTCTATTGGCCAGCGTGAGAGCCAACAGCTGACTGACACGAATGTTAACTAGCATGCTAGCATGGAAAAAAATCGATAGCTGCATTCATCACAAGTGGGAAAAATTTAAATCTGCGTGGCACTTTACTCCAATTGGCTCATTCGCTTGCTTAAACTCAACGTTGATTCTGATTCCGCAGAACTGGGTTGGGTGTGAAAAAGTATTTGTTGTTAACATTCTTTTTTCATTCGGTTTTTCCAGTTACGACTCCTTTTTTTAAAGCTGATCGTTTTGTGTTCATTTTGTTTAGTTCTTTTTTTCGTAACAGATTTAATGTTTAGTATAGAGCTTAGAAAAAGATTCGCAGTGTGAGATAAGCAAGAAGTAAGGTACGTAGCAACATCAGCACGGCAAAGGGCACTCCTTTAAAGGCACGGAAGGGAAAAAGTATTTTAAGTCAAGTGATAGCGATTGCTGTATGAGTCATTCGATTGTTGACTGAAGCACGGGCAAGTATATATATATATATATATATATATATATATATATATATATATATATATATATATATATATCCAAATGTAAAAGAACGACAAGCAAAACCTTCGCATCCAAAACATATATAGGGAGATATGGTTATAAACACATTACAAAAAATGTGCGAATTACGCGGAAATTATTTTAAACGTATAAACCATCCCCGGCCAGTGCACTAAATGCATTATTTTTAAAATAGAAAATAGATGACTATAATTACAAATTTTATATATCCATATGTAGTTAAATACACAGATAAATAAAACACTATTGCAGACACTAAGCGTCGTTATGCGATAACCGCAGTTAAATTGAGAAACTGATTCCGCTATTATTAATTTGAAATCTAAAACGACCACAAAGCATAATTATCGTATAAACTGCAAAGATATGACATTTTCTGAGGTTCAGAAGGAATATAATTAACTGGGAGTTACTCACTATATATATATATATATATATATATATATATATATATATATATATATATATATATATATAATAGTAAACATTGAAGTCAACAT